TTTGAGGTCCCTTCCAACCCAGACCATTTCTGATTCTGACTGATTGTTTTCATTAGTAGTGGGGTTCAGGGAAGAAATCCAGTTCAATTCTGTGGCCTCAGTAACAGCAGCTTGTGCACTCTCAGAGCCAGTGGTGTGGGAATAGGGAATTTAAGAAGGGGATTACTGGGATCAAAAAAACTCTTCCCACACATGATCAACAAAAAGATTCTTTTGAAAGGCAAGGGAGAAGCTGGAACACCAGAATGGAACTGGGAGTAATGATTTCAGCAGTAAAAGGTTTTAGACTGGGAACAGAACAGACTTGGGGCAGAGGACAAGCAGCTGATCTTTTAAATGAGAAAGAAAATAAATCAAAGTATTAAGTGAGTGTTGTCAGGTGACAGGCTGACTTTTGCAACAGATCAGTGGACATAATTAAATATTACATATATTGCCGAGATGAAGATGTTACCTCGTTTCCAGACTGCCAGTGACAGGTAGGACAGTGGCATTTTGAGTGGCAGTTGAGAGGACTTGTGAAAAAAAACAGCTTTAATATCTCCTTTTGTTGGGCAGATGTCATTAATGTGTCAGGTGGTAGAAATTATGAACCTTGGTCACAAGAGATGTCTGGCATAGAAAGGGTGGTTTAATTGGAGCTTATAGATGAACTTCCCAGATCCAGAATTTACAGAGGCAGGGGAGAAGGTGGAGATTGCATTCCAGACCCTGTTCTGTCCCTGTGTGAGATGTGATGCATCCACAAGAGGACACCTTGTGTCACCTGGCTGATCCAGGTGACAGAGTAGCAGGGGGGAGTGCAGAGTATTGGAAGCCAAGTGAGAACAGTTACAGGCCACCCATTCCCTCCCACTCAGCTCATCTCTGGCTCCAGGACCAGGAACTGGATGTGTCTCCTCTTAGCAGTACCTGTGTTTTCACTTCATTTGGAAGCTGGTATTTGATTAATTATTTTATCACATTGTTTGAGACCCCAGATAGGGAATAAACCAAGTGCAGATGCACTGTAGGCTCCAACATGAAAGCCATGCAGTCTTTAATAACACAGAACTGGACTAGAGGAAAGCAGAAGCAAGAATTAAAGCAGTTGTGGGGCCAAGTAGGGAACTCGTGTCACCATTACAGATTCAGCCCCTCTAGTCCTCAGAACATTATTTGTATTATTACTGAGGTCTCCAAGTCCTCTTGGGCTTCCACTATTCTGTTCACATTTGTCATGTTTCAGAGCCCAGCTCTTTACCCAAAGCACTGTAATTTTTCCTGTGTAATAGGATTCTGTTAACCAACTGTGGACATCTGATGGTGTCATATATCATTTATGGGATATCAGACAGAAAGAGCAGCACACCCATAATCACCCTGCTGTTTGTGGCCAGAGGAGGGAAGGAGACACACTGGGATATTCTTTAGACTCCCACTTTCAGCCTTTGGCGTGACAACTTACAAATATTTTGTATTAACCTTCCCTGAACTAGATCGAGGCACAGATTGCAGAGCAGAACAAACACTGCAGGAGAAATAACTTAATCTGGTCCTAGTATTGAAACATAGAACAAGCTGGAGAGTTGGGCTGATTCCAAGGGGATGAGGTTCAAGCAGGCCAAGTGCCGGGTCCTGCCCTTTGGCCACAACAACCCCCGGTAGCCCCACGGGCTGGGACAGAGCGGCTGGAGAGCAGCCAGGCAGGAAGGGA